GACAAGGTCGACTGTAATCGACACAATTCATGGTATGCGATCTGACACCAACCCAAATTCCGTGACTTGGAGTGCTAAGGCACCTCAACCTCTTATCCATTCACAAGCCGTTCAATGGCCACCTGGCTCCAAACCCTTTTCCACGGGTTTCGCGAACCCGTGGATAAGCGGAGAAGCCAACCCGGGGACGGTCAAACCACTGAGAATCTCTCTTCGCGACATGCCCGGAGCCTCCTCCAAGCTCTGCGTGCTCCGAAGACTCGCAGCGCAGCTGCCCCGGTCCTCCCGCGGCGCCCGCGCAGCTCTTCGAGCACAAGCAGCGCCCATAGGTCCATGGGAGACGACGCTCGACGACGCGGGTCGCGGGACGTCCGGGCCAAGTGTGGGGGTCCGGCGTCTTCCCTCCGAGGGTGTGGAAGAGGGCGCTGGAAGAGGTGACGTCTTCTCCGGAAGGGGAGGATGATGAGAAGAACATGGGAAATGATGATTGGGGATTAATGTGCTTGGCATGTTGGTGAGAGCTCTCACTAAAAAGTTGCAAAAGCGGATGAATATGACCAACTCAGGAAAGTTTTGTGCTTGTGGCAGGGCAGTGGGCTTGGCAGGGGGCTAACGAGTTATTGAGGCTCATGCTTCGTGCGAGCCATATCTTCGGTCATTCAGCGTGGTATCATCCCCTGACTGCGCGTGCCTGTGCGCAACGTGGCGGATAGATGGCGGATGTATCGATGCCCCTTCTAGAGCGGTGGATCTGGATCTCCAAGCGGGCGTACGAATGAAGGAACACATTGAATGACTGCAAAGATGAAAGAAACCAAACAAATCCTTAGGCTTCCAACAACCATTATATAACTTGAGAGGAGGGAGACACGAAAGGTAGGACAGCGGGAAGAGAAGAGAACGCGAGAGGCAGGAACAAAAATGCAATGTTCGACATGGTGATTTATCCCCTCGGAGGCGACCTGTCGTAAATATATGTTCATATGCACTCTAAATGTTCAAACATGTGCACTCGAAATGTTCAAAAAGGTTCTTAGGAAAACAAACTTGCCCCATTGCTCAGATCATCTGTGAGCATTGAATCGGAACATCATAGGATTTGAACTATCCTGAAACCATAAGAGGCTCACGAAGACGCTCCCCAGGAGAGAATTGACGTGCTTCACAAAACAAACTCTAGGTATGTATCCCCTCGGGGGACACCTTTCGTGATTAGAATTTCATATTCACTCTTTCTAAATGTTCAAGAGGGTTTCAACTATCCTGAAATCATGAGAGGCTCACGAAGACGTTCTCCAGGAGAGAATTGATTTTAGAGGGGGGAGGGGGGGGTCTGTATTGAAAAATCAATTCCAAGGGGGCGGGGGGGGGGGGGTTTGTATTGAAAAAGCAATTCCAGGGGGGGGGGGGTGGGGGGGCGTCTGAATTGAGCGATCAATTATTAGACCCGGACGTCCCAACACTTGCTTCGCAAGACAAACTCAAGGTATCCCCTAAAGGGCTACCTTTCGTGATTTAATAGGATGAATCCCGAATCAACGTAACTATCGATTTTACATTGCAAAACAAGGTCAACCATAATTGTTTTAATGGTCTTGGAAGTCTAGGGAAATGGTTCTAGTTTTTTATGTTTGGCAACTGCAGTTGGGTAGACGGTTGATGCAAGGATGACCTCATGCCGGAATGCTGGAACAGTCCGTCGTGGTGGAGTTGGCATACCATGTGTCCATGGTCACTGTAGGGCACCCATTGGAGTGCAGGATCAACAAGAATGGCCTTGACATGTTTGGCACCGAAGACGAGAATCATAAATGAGACAAAAAGCTCCAAACAACTGTCCCTCCCGCACAAGCAGGCCAGCAGGCATCGAACAGCCCATGCCAGTTCAAGGAATTCCCTTCCAACTCGCATCGAACAGCACGGCCCCTTTTGAACGCTGACGCCCACTGTGTCCATAATGCCCCACTCCTGCCGGCTGCCCTGCCCAAATCAGGCCTCCCTGAAGAAAGGAGCAACACCACGTCACCTCTCAAAAATAAACAAAACACGGCCTCATGCTAGACAATAAGCCTACCAAACCCATCTCCATGTGCCGGGAATCTGTCAGAACTGCCTGGCACTCGGGAACAAACCCGCTCGCCAATCATTCCCTACTGTACTCAATAAGGTCTCCCGTTGAAGTCCGCAAAGTTATAAAACGTATGGTATGAAACGGGACTCCGTTTCCTACATACCGTTTCATTCCTACTCAATAAGGTCTCCCGTGTGAAACGGTCATGCGGGGTGCAAAGTGCAACTTCCTGAGAAGCCGGTCTCCCTCCCCAAACCTGATCCTCGAAGAGCAAGGGTTTCACATCGTACAAAGGCTTTCACAGGGGAACGCTGACACGGGCTTAGGGCTCCCCAAAAAATACCAGCAGCGACGGTCTCAAAATATGAACCAAGCTGGGCCCAAAAGAGAATGCCTACAACATGCTTTTGGCTGACCTCCTCGGTTGCTGCCGCCAGCATCAGAGAGCAAAGCGCCAATAAAGGTTGAGGGCCAACTGAGTAGAGATGAAGGGACCATGACCTGAACTGATAAATTCATATAATTCATCATTTGCTGATTCGAGATTTTGAGACACGTCCACCCCTGATTCCCAATCCACAACTGGTGTGGATCCACAGAGGAGTACGTCCGACGCCAAGCAGGAGTACACGCACGAACCCAGGAGTACGTCCGACACAACGGACATCGGTCTTCTGTCGGAGCCTGAGCCGGAGACGGTCGATTTGGAGACGGGTTTCACCATGTGGACCCCTCGAAGAGTCTATAATAAAAAGCACTGCTCACATCTGCCATGGAGTATACCTCAATGGAGTGACCATGGAGTAACCATGGAGTCACCTCCGGGGATGTGGTTACCTCATGGGATGCATTGGTTCACATGTATCCCGGGATCTCACAGGGCCCTGCAGTCGAAATCCCCACGTCGACATGTACGAGTACCATGGTGAGTGAACGGAACGGCGTGTGCCAGATGGCTTGGGTCTATCCTAATACCTGGGCCCAGTGGATGATGATGGTTAGGTTGCAGGCCTCGTTCAAAAATAGTGATATGTAATTGTTTACTGACTCTTACAGGTAAGAACGGACAGACCCAAGCCAATATGATATGCTCTTTGTGAATCTGTTCTACGCCTGCCGCTTGCGCACACAAGCTATGCTATGTAAAGACCAGGTTTTTGATTCGCTTTGCCTCGCACTCCTGGGTCGCCAACCGGGGACCACGACACTGATACACCGCGCAACACTGACTCACAACCTCACCGTCAACATGTTCCATGCGTTCGACAGAGCTTCAAAGCCTGAAGAGAAGTCTGTCCGGTGAGGCTGTAGCAGTTGCCGCCCACCAGTGGGAAATGTGTGATTCACACCTGAGGGTGCACACATCTTCGTTTTAAATCAGAAATTCCAGAAGAGGCACTCCTGCAGACCTCTCCCCTCGCCGAAAACCGTTGCCTTCGGCCCAAAAACGTTTCATTTGGTGCTGGGGTTGTCGTTTCGACTGGTCCAGTGTGGGGCCCCGAGCGAACGAGAGGGGCTGCCGAGCGAAGCCATGCAGCCTCTTCAAATTCACTGTACTGGGTCACTGAGCTGTTCAGCGGTGCCACTCAAGGGAGACCTTCTAAAATCATCTAAAATCCAGACTTCAAAGACCTATTTTAGGGGGTTCCAGCTTCAATGGAGAAGGCTGATCACGTGATCCATGTTGGGACACTGCAGACCGGTGGGGCTTGGGACGTGGGAGTGTCCTGGAGATCCTTGGAGTGTCTTCATGGGCCCTGTTGTCAACACTTTGGCATCTAGGTAGGGGAATGCAAAAACCCTCCCTGAGGGAATGACTGCGTACATGAAGACCCATGAAGACTGGCTGACTGCACTGGAGATGGTGAAAGCCCTTAAGACTTAAAGATATCTGATATGATAACATAAGTAGCATCTCAAGGGCAGAGAAGAATCTTGGGGAAGCCCTTACTACTGATATCTACTACTCTTACGATGACATAAGAACCAAATGCCGTCATATGAGCACACCTGAAACCTCCCAAGGCAGCGCGGCCCCGACGACATCTGCGAAGGAAGCCGCTCTGATAAAAGACATGGCGCGGGCAGCGCTCAACCGCGCGTCGTCGACACATGGCATTGGGTAGAATTGCCTTGTGGGTCAGTGTGGCTCGAGCAAACCACTCTCTTCAATTCGAGACTGTGCTGCGCTCATGTGTCTTTGTGCGCCACTTTTGGGCACAATAAGAAGACAAGTCACACAAAGAGGATGACTATGGGCAGAAATGAGGACTTGCTTCATGAGTCAAAAGGACAAACATCGTCATCCCTGGAACGATGCAGTACCCCACATTAGGCCAAGCGCATCTTCTTGGAAGTGGGACTTCAGGCAAGCACCCCCATCTAAAGGACATCTTGAGGTCTGTGCCATCTACTCTTATACTCGTGTATATCTCACATCTCTTGGCAGGGATCCCAGCAGTCTGTCTAACTTTCTGCACATCCAAGAGAGGTTAAGTGACGGACATCGACCCTAGCGATGGGTGGCTAAAAAACACCAGGCATCGTGGTTCCTTGAGAAAGCAAACCCTGAATTGCATGGATTTCCCCGCGGCTGCACTTCAAAAGCTGTTGTCGCAATATATCTTACAATTCTTGTGCACATTCTTGGGGTGAGAAAGTGCGACATGTCTGGCCACCTATATCAGTATCCTCGCCACCCGCACAGTGTGCACCACAGGATTGATCGGTATCGGCTTGGAACCCCAGAAACAACTATCCGAAGACTTCGAAGTCGGGATGGCTGTTCTTCTCTGTGTGCGAAACCCACACCCTGGCAGTCGCAGTCTTTTATAAATGACAACCCAATATGTCTACAGTATATATATATATATATACATAAATACCGCCATACTCCACGAGGACAATGAACTCCCGTGTTTTCAATGAAGAAGGACAAAAGGAAGATCCAAACTCGGCTGGTCTGCCTGATGATGACACTCCCAGCTTCCCTATGCGCAAACTTGAAACCGACGGCCATCTGTCACTGGCCGCTCTCATTGGCTCTCAAACCACCTCACAAATCACAAACCATGATCACCACTCTCTCTCTCTCTCTCTCTCCTGAGGAAATCAAACATCAGAAGAACCACAAGCAAGGAAAAGCTCCACAGATGGTGTAGCACAATGATTGAAGTCCATCGTTTCGTTTTCGCGTTTCGTTCTGATGCGTCGACTGACCGACCCGTGACGCCCCGACGCGGCGACTGACGCGAGGTCGCTCGCATCATCATCTCAAGCGCAGAAAGAGATGAATCCACAGCAAAGTCAGATGATTCACCTCATACTCTCCCATATTTGGACACACACAGACACACCCCAAAAATGACATGTTCAACTCCTCCACCCATCTCCGCACCTGTGCAGAGGTGGCAAATGCTCATCCTTGGGAGGAGAATGCCCGCCGTCTGGACCAATGAGTTGGGATCATCCGCCGGCGGCACCCACCAAGGTGGCTAGAAGGTACGGGAACCGCCCAAGGGGATCGAAGTGCAGCACCAGGGGGGATCCACGAATTTGATATAAAATCGTTCTGCGCGGGAGAAAGGAATCCAACGGCACAGGACATGAAGCCGTTCCCACGTGGGGTGCAGGATCTCTTCCTTCAAAGCTCCATCCCTGGGTGCTGGGAGCGCCCATCCCACTGCGCCCAGCCACGCGCTGGAGGCACGCACATGGCTCGCATCTCCTGCGCCGAACGGAAGACCGGGCATTTCCGGCGCGGCTCAGACGGATCCCAAGGCGGCTCAGACGGATCCCCAGGGCCGCCCTGAGCGAGGTGTCCGAGAGGGCCATGGGGCCCCACCAAAGCCAGCGGGCGCTCCGCATCCATCCGCCCTTGACACCTAAGACTCTCCTCCTCACTCTCTCCCCCTCTCTCGTCAGTCGTCTCACAGAGACGCCCAACTGCAACTTCCCCTTCCAGGCCACCTACCTTGACACCTACGCATTCTGAAAAGGACAGTTTCGGATCGAGCCAGCATCCACGAACTGGATACACCATGTCTCAGTTCGGGCCAGTCTACAGGGAACCTCCCTCGGGACTGCTCCAGACGGTGCGATCCCAAGCTTTGAGCGCTGCACAAACACCCCCAGTGATCCTTCTCCACATTGACAAGCTTCTTCTGATGTCCAGGGTTTGGGACATATGATGCATGAGGATCAAATGCAATGACCTCAGCCACATGGTGCTCGGATGTTTCCATGTTTCCCAGAGTTGGAAAGTGCACTCCATGTATGAGGCACGTGAAAAGGCCTCAGAGGAAGCTCGCCACTGCCACACCCCGCCCACGGCAGCCCTCCTCGAAGTCGGCACCTGATCGTCAAACTGGGCTTCAGGCTTCAGGGTTCTTTTCTACATCCAGCGGAGTGAGTAGAAGATCGCTCTGGGGTATGGGCTATGGGCTGTAGGTTGAGAGAGGGTTGAAAAACCCAAGTTCTCAGTTCCCTGTAGATCGCCAGTCGACCTTCCGATACCCCAGTCGACCGACTCGGATATATAGTTATAGTGCGTTCGTCGCTCAAATCCGCACTGACGTGTCCTTGAATCAGCAGGTCCGGTCAGAACCCAAGGGGATGGCCCACCGGAAACCAACCATAGCGGCAAAGCGTCCAGATATCTCCAAATGCCGGAAGACAAAAAAAAACACTGCCCGACCCCCGGCGGCCATGGCTGTGTCCTTTTGTTGAGGCGGAGGGCAGAACACTCAAGACTCATCAAGACTCAAGAATTGCATCTCGGTGCCCAAAAGTCGCTTCCATGGGCCTTGGTGCTCCTTGCAACGGCCGCTCGTCATCCCTGCGCTGCGCGCCTGGCTCCCCTGGCAGATCGTGCCTCTTCGTCGCCCTGACAAGGCGCCAAGGCACGCGGCATCGGTTCGATACGAACGACCCCAACAAACCGACTGCACAGTCTCAACCTTACTATTACTGTCTCATCGCCAGGACAGGTCTTAAAAACGTGAAAGAAGATGAAAGAAGATGAAAGAAATAGTTAATCTTGTAACAAAAGCTTTGTAAATCTCTTCTCTAGAGCCTGGAATCCGTTTGACACCCCGTCCCGTCGCCAACCGGTTTGGGTTGCCCTGACAGCGCGTTCCAGGCGCCCGTCAATTTCAGGATCACCTCGGCAATCATCGAGCTCACGAACAACTTCGTGTGGAGGGCCATGTATTTGGCTTGAAGGGCCACTTCCTGGCATCATCCTGCACACAACACCGTGTCTTTTTCCAACAGTCTGCTGACAAATCCTCCACCAACCTCCCAAAAACCTGCTGAGCATCAAGGCTCCGCACCGATCTCGGGCTATCGCTCTTCTTCTCCGGCGCTCTCGCCTCCATCGCCGCGGGGCTGGTCGCCAGCGGCAGAGGCGCGGGGGGCACGGCGCCGTGGGGCGGCCCCAAGGTGCCTTGTGCCACGGCGCCGGGCGGCAGCGGCTCGGGGCCCAAGGGTGGCATCAGCGAGAGGGGCGCCACGGGCGGCAGGGGCGCCACGGGCGGCAGGGGCGGCAGGGGCGCGGGCGGCAGGGGCGCGGGGCCACCCATGGGCATGGGTGGGGGGGTCAGCACCGGAGCTGAGTTCACAGGGATGGTGCCCAGCGGGGCATCCGGCAACCTGGCAGCAAGGTGAGATGGCACCGGGGAGAAGAACCATGTTGCAGTCCCGCGTTTCTCGCTCGAATGTACGTTGATGGGCTTAGGCACGTATGTGTGTTGAAATCTGCCACGTGAAGGCTGCATGGTTTGATTTTGCGGGAGGTCCAGTATTTACCAGTTTTGTATTTCAATGCAGCGTTGGCCCTGCAGCAGTTCTGGCTGGGGCCGGCACAAGCACCCTGCGTTGGAGGTGTACCTAGGCAACCTGGGCGCGACTGGGGCGTTCTTCCCCGAAAGAGTATTGGGAGTCGCATGCAGCACAGAATCAGTCGTGTCGCCCCACCCCAAGAGATGTTAAGACCTGTAAGACCCTATAGGGTTGTTCAAGTTTGGTGTTTGTTTGAGACAAGTTGTAGTAGATTGGTTCTTGCAGCGTGCGAGAAAGGGCATGACCATCGCTCAAACCGAGATACTGAAACGCTGTCCTCCACCCCGACATGTCATGACATGTCATGACATGTCAGGGCGTTCGGAAAGTCATGTGATTGGTCACCCTCTTATTTAAAAAAACAAACACTCGAAGCCGCACATGGGACCGGCCCCTCCATTTTGCGGCTGGTCATCTTTGGCTGGCCCGCAGGGGCCCCGGATCGCCCCGGAATCTTAACCCGGGCCAGGACACCAAGGTGCCACCCAAATGAATGACAATGCCCTAAGGCTTGCAACCACCGTTCATGTAATAATAGGCTTTACCGAAGCAAATCAGGATTTGACACTACAAAACTAACCCGGTCGTTCCCAATCTTTTTCATGGTCTTGGAAGTCTAGGGAATGGCTGTCAGCAGCTTGGATGAGGTACCGGACGACGCACGTGAGGCTCGCGCGTCGTCCGCGCTGCTCAGCTGCGCGTAATGGCTCAGCCGAGCAGCACTAGGCCATCTGCAGGACAAGGCCCTGGGCACGGTCCCGGGCAAGGCGCTGGCGGCCACATGGGAGGTCCAAAGCCGAACCTGGGCGGAAAGCTCTAGTGCTTGGCGCCAAGCACACATGGAAGACTGGATGTCTCTTTCTCAGGGTGGCCTGATGAACTTGATACAAATCCTTTTTTGAGATATAATAATGAAGATATAAGAAATAATATTGGTATGGATACAACCGTTGATAGTGCTGAAGTCTTTGGAAAAATTACAAAGTTGAAAGAACCAGGAGCTTGTTCAAATGGTTGGCATCCTCCAGTCCTCTCTGCGTTCTCCAGTCCTTCACAACTTCTAACCGTTCCTAACCGGTCGAAGTTCCCTTTGTGTAGTTTGTTGCGTTCTTCCCGCCGAGGTATTCAACGTCGCTGCGCTCGCTCCACCGAGCTTCACACTGCGGAGGAGGACCTGCCTGAGACAAGGATGGACAATGAGAGCGGGATGGACTGGGTGTGCCAGGAGTGTCTTGAAGTAGTAGTTCCTCGTTGGGGGAGTCTCAAGGGTTCGATTTTCCTCTCCCTTTTCTCTGTATTGTGCATTTTGGTAATATATATATATATTATATATAATATTATATGTATAATAATAAAATGATATGTGGTCATTAAAAAAATGTTGTGCATTTGTGTGCCAAATTCACTTTCTGCTAATTCATACATCTCTGGAGTTGGTTCAGAGGTCCTGGCATTTACTTTTAGGCACGCCTCTCCACTTCAACTCCCCGAGTGTCCGCGCGGGTGGGAACATCGGGGGGAAGTGCTGCCACGGCGGCACTCCTGCGCCTCCGGCCCGTGCATGGCGCGCAGCGTGTGGCTGTAGTATGATAACTTGTCAATCTCACTGTTCCAAGGGAAAGCGTGATGGAAAAAGGATGGGCTTGTTCGTCCAGCGTCCAGCGTCAAAGCGTTGTGGGTTTGGAGGATGGACATCGAAATGTCAACCCTTTCTCTCCAAGTCTTCATCTTCGCAGGTCCCTCCCCCTTCAAACCCAAAAGCCGCCGATCACCGCCGGCTCCCACCTGGCATGGGCGGCGGCATCCTCAGCAGTCGCAAAGGCCCAACGGGATTGTGCCTTTTGAGGCCATTGGGTGACCTCACTGCAGACTAACATGGACCTGAAAATGACCCCGTTGAAGATAAGTTTCCTCTACAACACCCGGACGCAATATTATTCTGCGGGAGGGTCAACAATTCTCTACAGTGAAATATGCTGAAACGAGGGGCCAGGAATGTCTCCCGCACCCCACCACATGAGGTCTCTGATGCGTTTCCGCATCTCTGGGGGGCCGGGAATGTTGCGTGCATAACTTGGTCTATCCTGGTGTATCCTGCTCATTGACTGGATGAAAGGGCCCACCAGAAAGGCAACAAAGGCTCACGGTCAGTGAGAGTTCTCCGAAAAACGGCCTGCTACAAATGGGACTGATCGAGCCGTATGTTCCATTTTACTGCCGTGCAGTCCCTTTGGCCAGAGGCTCAAGCTCCGAGCTAGTGGTGCTTGCACCCCGTCTTTTATTGGGGGGGGCGGCGAAGAACCACCCCGGTGCCGCCGGGCTCGGCTGCGGAGTCCGGACCAGTTCGAGCGGGGAAGCGAGGGGATCCAAACTGGTGCGGGGATCCAGAAGGAGAAGCTTGCAAAAATGTGTTCATGTCGTGGCATCCTGAAGAAGGTACAACGGTCACCGGGTGTGTCTTTTAGAAGCTGGAGACACCATGCCACAGTGGCGTGGCATCGCTGCCATCCGCGGGAGGGCAAAAAGAACACACTGCGGGCGCGTCCCGACTGAGCTCGCCGGGCATCTCATGCATCGGGGGGCCCTGAAATGGACTGGGTCATTGAGTCTGGCTGGCTGGGCCCACACCCCAACTCCCACACCAACAAGTCCACTTTTGTTGGAGGACATGCTCTATGATTAGGAAACTCCAGTTCAGAAGGGGCCATCAAAGTTCCTCCATGTCCATACTTCAGTTTGGGGAGTGTTCTCACCTTCTTCTCCACAGTTGGAAGCATCTCCAAGACAGGAAAGAAGAGGCCATGTGTGGTGGAATTGAGAACTGTGAGGCCCAAAGCGGCATGGATGCACAGTTGGCTTACTAAAATTGCGGGCGTCATGTTTCGACCCAATCCCGCAGTGCATTCTGCATGCCTAAGGCTCGCATGATGCAATCTCCGACAAAACGAGAGGTGCATCGGTGCACCTCTCGTTGTACCCTTAGACGCTGACGCTTCAGACTGTTTTTTCCCCTCACGCCTGCATGCCATCCATGGGTGCCATGTCAGCGGGCACTGTCGCCTGACCACATCAACAGTTTGAGGGATGACGAAGGGAGTCCTTTCTTGACCACAACTGTCATACAGTACCCAACAACACAGTCCGCAGACCATCGGGAGAAAGGTGTGAAGAAAAGAACCCGTTCATCACACAATCCTGGACAAAGCGCTGGCTTTCTTCGGGACGGTTCCGACGCGAAGGGATTCTGAATGGCCAGGCCCTAGCATTGTACTCAATCTTGCACTCAGTTATGGGTCTTCATCACCCTAAGGGCTGCCCACCAGACACTTTGACACGTCCATGCTGACCACGAGGGCAATCTGTCAGGGCGCCATCCCTCCAAAAACGGCTGGGCCAGCGCACCAATGGTGGTCCCATACACTGCATGAAGCATGGAGCCTGGCACGAGAACTCTCACACCATCTCAGACCACTCGGCCCGCGGAAGCAGCCGCCAGCGACGGACGTGAAAAGCGGGCGACTCCCTCGACGAACGCGTTCGTCGGATTGACGGATTCGTTGATCCATCACGGTGGAAAAAGTGTCAAGAGTGAAGCCATCTGAGGCTCCCCCATGATCCGCTTTAGAGGCTCCCATGAAGCCGTCTGAGGCTCCCATGATCCCACGTAAAGAAGGCCTCTTCTGGGCTACAGCCTCTACCAGACGACCGCATGATCGACCGCATGCCGACCGCATCCCGTTCTTCGAGCTCAAGCGACCGCCATGTCCACCAACCGGTCTACCACCCCTTTCCCCACCGCCTGCGGATGCTGCATCCCCATGGGCCTCGGTAGGCTGCTCAAGGTTCACTGATTGATGTGAGAGGCCCTGTGAGGCCAGGTTAGAGAAGGACTCCCGAGCCGTCTCTATCCGAAAACCCACCGGTGAACCGAACGGTCCGCATGTTGTCGGTGGAGTGGCAAAACCACTGGCCCAGAAGATGTTTTGCAGGTTGCCCACTTTTTCTGGGTAGGGTTGAGGCCAGACGTTTTGGCTCTTCTCAGCGCCATGCCCCATGTTCTGCACTGGCTGCATGTCGCCTGGCAAATCCGCTGATCAACGGCCAACGTCGACGAGCGACGCTAAGGGAGACTCCGGTGGCCGGTTTCCCGAACCATTCAAGCCGCTCATCACGATACACCAAGCAGAAGTTTGCAATTACTGAAACCCCCCGCAAACCAACATGGAACCTGAGAGGCGGGCTTTCTCCCGTGGTTTCCGACCACTTTTCCGAATGCTCACCCGGTGGTCCGTGGGATGTAGTCCATTCGGGCTTGCGAGGAGTTGACTTTGGCCTTTCTGGCCTTTCTTCAGCTGTTCACCTCCCGGTCGACCATGAACAAAAATGGTTGACCTGGCTTGTGATGTAGAAAATCACCAGTAAAGCATGGTTGTTCAGTGAAGTATTATTGAAGTCAATGGTGGTTGGATGTGGTTGGAATATCCTAAGGTTCAGGCTTTGGCTGAATCGAAGGATCATCATCCCATCTGTCTATGGAAGCTCTCCGGCTCTGCAGCGATCGATCCATGCGTCCTGATCGCCTGATGTAGACTCTTGATGAATGGCTGAAACACCTCATTCATATCATAGTCTATTCATCAAGAGTCTAGTCTACATTGACCAGATCTGTTACCAATTGCTGAACCCCCACTTCAGTCTTTCCTCCAGGCCCGGGACGGGCCCGCCCCAAACACACGCGCGGGGACCGTGCCGGTGTGGGAGGACGTGTGGGGCGGCCTGTGCCGTGGGGCGTCGTCGGCTTCTTGGCGCCTCGGTTCGGTGAAGACGACGCGACGTCGTTGGCGCCTCGTCGTCTCCTGCGGAGGAAGGTCTTCGGGTTCACCGAAGGGTGGTTCTTTCACCTGTTTCGAAAGACTTGAAAGGCCGAAGCATTTCAGGTTGGCAAACCCTTCTTTGATGCTCAAGCATTAGGGTTTGGATGGAAAGCCTCCATCGAAGACAAACTTCATAGACCAAAGTACTGCAAATCGGCCTCAGTACTACAGATTTAAAAACAACTCCGCGGAAAGACCAAACCAAAAGCATCATGCGTGACGGAGTGGAATTGCCATCTCAGGGATCGAATGCTCGAGCTCGAAGTTTGGCTTCTAAATGCCCTCCTCGCCACACCCGTCTCCGGCAACCCGTCCGTCTCGGCCACCGCACGCTTGCGCTTGTCATGATCGAAATGGCAGAACCTTCCCATGGCAGAAGATCCCATGTTACACCCAAAGAGACTCGCCATGAAGAGAACGACCTACAGTAGTCATTCCTCTCATGTGCGGTTCAACATCCCCACCGCGGCTGGAGCAAGTCAATGGCTGGGGCAGATCCACCCATCTGGGGCAGATCGGGTCACTGGTGTGTTGGCCTGCTACTTCAGGTCGATGTCTCGCACTGAATATTCTGAATCCACCCAAAGTATTCAGGTTGACATTTGTGTGTGTGTGTGTCAGTATTGGCCAGTGCGTGACCAATGGCTCTTGTTAGACATCTTTTAAACTATTAAGAAATCATCAAGCACTTCACAATGACATTGAAAGTTTCATCACGTTTAAGATGTTATCTTTCTGGAATATTCTTAAGCATCGAACTACCTTCATCCCATATTGTTTCGATTTCTGGCAGTCCCACCCCCTCAGATCGGGAGCGGATACCATGACCCGCACCGAAAACCACCCGCACCGGCCCACCTGCATTCATAGCCATTCGAACAGCGGCCTTTGGGATGAAAGCAGCAGCGTTTGCACTCGCCTGCCGAGTCAGTGGAGCATGCTTCGTTCGCCTCTCAAGTCTGTTTTCCCCAAGGCCTGGGGGGCGTTCTCGGCCCCAGCGTTACTTGTCCGAGCCCCTGTTCACTGGTCCGCGACTGGACCAGAACAATACGTCCTCACCGTACCTGAGAAGGTATTTGGATCCCTTTGGTTTTTGCTTTGCCTTTGGTTTTTGGACACGCACCCAGACAGCCAGCATTCCCTCGGCGAAAACACACCGTAACCGACATTGGACTCTTGGACTCTCCCAGCGAGTTGATGTCAGCGTAGCAGCATGTCTCGTTCATGTGCATCTTTATGTATTATAATTGCATCTAAATATACAGTATATATACAGTACCTAGAACCCGTTTGACCCCCGTTTTGATAGGAAAAGGCCATATTTTGGATAGTTGACCCTCCAAAACAGGGGTCACTCGGGTTCCAGGTATAAATGTATATATTGCTTCTATCCCATGACCGGATGATGGGAGTGATGAGACCTTGTGAAACCGGACTGTTAGAGGTAATGGGACAGACCCGACATAATTATATATATACATAGAAGGCCTCTTCTTTTGATATGTATATGATATACACATCAAAAGCTGTATATGCACTGAACGTACAATACACATATACAGGTAAGTATGTACATAATACGCACACATTCAATGGGAATAGCTGGTGGGTACCGGTACACGCGCATCATAAGCTATTCTCACAATGTTCACGTTCAGCACTTCCTGTGGTCTCTATCTAGCCTCTTTTGCTCCAGACCCACCCACGCTGTTTCAGGCTGCCTGTAAAGTGGCCCGCGGAGCCTAGGGTGCAAAGCAAACTGCGAAAAGCACTGCTTTGGATACAGTAAATACCCCTGAAAAAGCTGGGAGCGATCAAGAAAACCAGCAGTTCCAAAAGAACTGCGCTTCATGGAGGTTACAACAACCGCTTTCACCCGACTTCTGGAGTTCTTTCAACACATCGCTTGTGTTCAAGCACCCAGCTATGAAGCACCCAGTGTACTCGTCGTGCGCACTCAGCGTCCGTGCCGATGGATGGCAAGCCATCCAGCGGCAGATGCTCCGCGGTCGTGACGGTGGCAATCTGGCGTCACGGGGCGAAGCCGTTTTTCGTGGCGAAGGCTTTCGGGGCGAAGCGTTCGCCTTTTGGGCCACTGGAAGCGTCGGTTCGAATGGAATCTGCGAAATCGGCATATGGGTCGAGAGGAGCAGGGTTTCAAACGTTGCTGATCTCAGTACACTCTCTTTTTGGGGGGGAGCCTGCTAAAGAAATTGTCCAACCAAAACATGTTGCTGCGCCTTCTTTCAAACAGTGGAAGCGGTGTTGGGTTCCGGATTAGAATTCTGATGGGCACCTCTGTCAAGCCCCTACGCACGCTGAATCCATATGGACCCAAATGAATTTACCTCCCGCAAGTCTTCCATGCCAAATCTTGCCGAAGACACCCAGACTCAGACGGTTTCAGAGGTGGAGGACATCACAGCACATTGGGTCGCACGAATCTGCCCTTTCTCCGCCCGCAAGCTTTCTGCGTCCTAGGGAGCACACCGTGCCAGAGGGTGTCTGTAGCTCCACCGAATCCTCAGCGTAGCTTCGAAACTTCTTCGTCCCGGTTCACATGAGGCACCAACGCATCGTTCCCCCAGAACATCTGTCAGTTGCTGTCTGTAGATCATCATGGCCATGCCGGATGCCCGGCATGAAGCACTTCGTTGCTCTTTCAAAGGCGAACCTCCAGGGGCCAAGGCTTTTGGGCATGTCGCCGCTCTACCCCGCACCACAAGGCTTGGCCGGCAGCGTCGTCGGCCGGGCACCCGGGCCGATTCCTCCGAGGACACGTTTTCCGTGAGGTGCGATGGCTTCTTCACAGTGGCACCTGACCGCTTGGTCCCAATCCGAGCGACCCAACGGGGTCGCTAATCATGAAGTATAGACATTGATATACGAAGTATGTGTATATACCCTGGGAGTCAAAGACTATCAAAAGAATGGTCTGACTAGGGGACCTGAGTTTGGGAACTTCCTTTACTTCAGCCGGTCAAAATATAGTCCAACTGGACTTCTGATGTATATATATATACTTATTATGTTTATTTACAGTTTTTATTTATGTACAAATGTGCTATCTGTCTTCTCCACGTTTGCTTGTATATTATTGTAGATGAATCCAGCGATGGTGCACCCTCCCCTCTCTCCTGCTCCAGCATCCGGATGTGAGACGCTTTCCGGCTCATCTGCCGCCTCCGGCGTGAAAGCCAGCGACGAACGATTCCGAGGATCCCGAAATTCACCCGGCGAGCGACGTCGCGGGGAAACCCACCTGGTGGCGGACCAGGTGAAATAATACCTTCACGACTGGTCCGGCGGAAGGGGTCGGTTGTTGCGAACACCGTGAGAATCAAAGGGGTCGACCACCAGAACAGGAAGACCTCTCCACCGGGGTCGCCGCTTCACCTCTCAAGTGGCCCACGGCCGTGGGCGTCAGCCGAGGAGGGAACGAGGTCCCGAAGTCGTCCCATTCTGACAGGAAGAAAGAATGAAACAAACATGATGCATGTGTGCGTGACCATGTCTGTTTCAGAACCTTCAACGTGACCTTTTGAGATCCCAGGATGAGGTCACTTAGGCCTGCAACAACCCTTCGAGACTCCAAAGAGGTCACTTTGCTCCGGTCCTGGTCATGAAAAAAACGCTGAAACCGTTGTGTTTCTAGCAAACCTCAGCAACTGGAGGCGTCCGCATCCAGCATCCTCGCCTCCATCAGCGCGGCGGCCAACTTCGCACCCGCCGCGCCCTCGGGCACCACAGCCTCCGCGGAGCCCGTCACAGCCTCCTGCGGATAGGGCGGTTGAAGCAGCTGAGGGAAACTAAAGGGCGGAGCTGGGGGCCAGCGTTTTGCTGCAAGAATTGGCTCAGTTATACAACTTTAATACTAAAGTTTTATATATTAGGTTCATAATTACATATATATATATATAAGGCTCTCTCAATTTCCCTGGACAATAAAGGCTAACCTTGTTCCCCCTGTTCGACCTGTCTGGTGGGGAAACCGTTCCCCCCAAAAAAGCTACGCTCCCACTCACTAACATGGAAGTGGATTCCACCCCCTGTTTGTACAGGAGAGTAGTCTTCCAAGGGACAGTGCCATCCACTTCCATGTTAGTGAGTCAGAGTGTAACGGTTAAAGGTTATCCACTGACTGACTGGGTAGGGTCTTGCATGTATACATATATATATATATACAGTATTTATATATATATATGTGTGTATATATATATATATGTGTGTGTGTGGGCTAATGAAACTCCGAAAGTGGACATTGCAGTTCTTCCGTGCTGTTGTGATGTTTTTGTTTGGCTTTCGGGTTGGTCGATCCATCCGTTGGAATGTTTGAAGACAGCCGCCTGGCTGAAGACTAGCCTGGCTAACGGCTTGCTGTTTTGGGCCAACTGGCTGGGGAGTTGGGCCAACTGGCTGGGCTGTTTTGGGCAAACGATGCAGCGTGGTTGTACTTTCCCCTGCCCAAACCCTCGGGCGTGAGCTTACATCCGAGCGACTGCCTCGACTGGCTCACACTGTGGAGTTTTGGGACCGAAGGGCGGGGCATCTGCAGCGCTCGGGTTCTACACATTCACTGTGGAAGTCTTAGCTCACCAGTGGGGAGGTGCATCACAGAACTCATGAAGACTTCCATCTGAACCCCTATCGCTTGAAAGAAAGGAACAAGAAGAGAGAGCGAGAGCGAGAAAACAAAATATGTTTAAAATGATGAAAACTGGAAACAAAAAAATGCCTCTGCCTCTCCTCCTTCACTTCGACAGGCTCGTCGTGCACATCCTTTGGCACCAAGGGCTCTTTCTCATCTTTCAGCTCACTGTCAGGCCTTGTCAACAAGCGACCACAAGGGCATCGGCTTCACCAAAACGACCACAGAGGTACGGGTTCCAGGGGTTATATAAAACAGAACAATCAACTTCTGATCAAAGGATTGGTAGTGTTGATCACTTCTCTGTCAACCACAAAATTGCAGAAGAAAGATGAAGAAAGAAGAACCGACTTCAAAGCCAAAGGAGTTATCTACAAAACAGGCTTTACACGTTTACAAGGTTCAACAAAAAAACACACACATTCAATCAAATCCATGCATTTGGCAGTTGGGCCAGTTGGGCCATGCTTCAACATGAACCCCGCTTTAAGCCATGTCTGAACCATGGACCAGTCATGACCAGTATTCCTTTAGAGTCCCCTGGCCTCGCCGTTCAGGCGAAACCACGACGATGCCCGCCTATTCGGGGCCATAAGGCCAGCAAAGCAGCTTGAACAGCCCTGGCGTGTGGAAATACGTGGCGTGTGGATCCTCTTTTTGCAGGGCGAGTTTTTGAAAAGGAACGATCCTGCACAGGGGATGGGTTTTTCAGTGGCCTCTGCATGCCTTCTCGGAAAAAACCCGCAGGCCTCCTGGCCCCACCTCACGGGAAGGAGGATGTCTTACTAAAAGCTGCATATGTGCATGGATGCCTCACTAGGGAGGCCATCAGAGCCAGGGAAATAGCTGTACTCAGACTGCTTGGGGGGGTTACAAGTTGCAAAGCTCCAAAATGCACCATGGCCCATTGCGGAGATGCTGTCTATATATAAATATACATACATACATACATACATACATACATACAAACAACCAACCAACCAACCAACCAAGCAAGCAAGCAAGCAAAACAAAACAAAACAAAACAAACCAAAACAAACCAAACCAAACCAAAACAAAACAAACAAAAGCGCGAAAAGAATACACGGACACTCAAGGCATCAAACGAACGCATGGTTTCAACTGCCCAAATCTGCCCCATATCGGCACATCGGCGCGTTTTACCCGTCTGGAAGTGTTTCAGACGGCGCATCAGCCGGCCTGCCCCATGTCACAGCCTGCAAGAAATGAGAATTGTAGTAGGGATCGAGCTCAATTGCTAAGGCATTGCTCAATGTATTCCCTCTACCTGGTGGTGCCATGTCAGTAGATGAGTACTAGTCATGTTTGAATATATATATATATATCTAACAAGACTCCAGCACTCCAATGTCTGAAAGTGGCAGCTTCCAGGCTCCAGCACTGCCTCGTCTCTTGGGCAGTCAGGGTAACGTCGCTGCGGGCTAACGATTGATGTCGGCGCGCACACAGCTTGAGGTGTCACAACGGGAGGATGCGTGTGAAAGATCGACAGCGCAGCGCATCGAGATAAGGCGATTTCGGGGGTGGATCGACGTCGCCGCCATCCATGGGAACCGTCACACTCCATCCATTCGCTCCCTACTTCCAGCGTCGCCACGGTGGGCGCGTCGAAACCGGTTTTCGGGACCCTTCGGAGTGGTGCCACCGGCGAACGGAACCGCGGCCGGCGGCATCGAAGCATCGAAGACCTAAGCATTTTGGTACAAGCACCGCCACGCCAATGGCCATTGACAAAAGCTCTTGATAGCAATTGGTGCATCGGCACGTCCGCGGGCACTCACTTAAAGTGTGCATCCAAACTGGTGGCAGGTATGATGGAGTTTGAGTTGTGTCAACAGTGGTGTTTACCGGGCCTGTTTGGACAGGCATAGACCAAACACGGCTCGTGTCATGACCACGGGCAGCGGGCGGTATGTCGGCGAACACCTGGCACCAGGAGGTCCGGCCTGAGTTGGTCCTTCCACTTCCATGTGAGTGATGTTAGTCAGAGCGTCAACGTGCAGCAAAACATGCAAAACACTCATTGATACTCATTGCTCCCACTTACTGTAGGTCATGACCCTGAAAACCTCTGTTCTCAGATCCGGTGGCCCCCCCGGTCTCAACTGCACGCCGGCATGCGCACAATTAACCTGTGAAACCAGTCGCCGCACGCCACTCACAAAGAGGCTGCCGGACAGGTGATGAGGATCGGCAAGCCCTGAGCCAAACAGTTGGGGGAAGTCCCCATCACTGCTTGCGGGCTGCTCCAAAAGGGACCATCCACCAAAAGCATGTTAGTTACTAGTAGCTTCTTGTTCCTAGTAGTAAGGCCAGGAGCTACGTTTGTAGCGTCCTTGCTCCTAGTAGCGATGCCCATTGCTGCTAGTAGCTTCTTGTTCCAAAAAACACCATGCACTCCTGGCATGGAAACCTCTGCCCAGCGCCTGGCTCTTACAGGCCATGTGTCCATCGAGCCTGCCGGGCTCGATAAGCGGAGGCCGCCCAGACCCTCGCATGCCGTCCTGCCCCGCCCAACAGGGACGGAGGATCCTGGTCTTACATACGATACACCCATTTCTGAGGTCGATACGGACAGTGCATAGCACACTTGAGGCACCCAGGGCACGCAGGGCCCCACTTGAAAAAGATCAACTGGTGCCCCTGATAGGTTCAACAGTTGCCAGAACGCCTCTCCTCCTGAAGTGTGTGGCACGTTTCGGACACCTGGAAGGCTTGAGGCCTTGCAGGTCGTGTTTGCTGGCAACATTCACATGAACCACACGAACCACAAGGTGGAGAGTCCACATGGAAACCATTCAAGCCCTCCCCCCCTGTCGAGTTGTGCCCTCACCTGGGGTTTTTGGGCCAACACCTGCAGTTGAAGGACGTGTTTTCCAGCCCACATGCCCCCTCAGCCGAGCCCGGTCCCCGCCTCGTGGGGCCGCCGCGGCACGCCGCCTCGCGGCGCTCGCGGCGGCACGGGCAGGCAGAGGGAGGCGTGGGGTGTCCAGCCCATTTGGATTGAAAAACCTCAAAGGGGGGACTCGTCTGCAGTCTGCATTATTGCACTATACTTGATGTCAGATTGGGCTGCGGCTACGCGAAGCTGAGCTGAGATTCGATGTGCCTCATTTTGAAAAGTTAGAAGAAAATTAGTAGTCCATGAATCATTTGAGAGAAGATGTCCAAATACCGCGGGTCAGGCCATGGTTCTTCCAATTTTATATGGAACAACCCCCCTCCAATGTCCAACCTCTTCAATTTGATAAGTAGTCTCCGAACAACAGCAGAAAAGAAGGCGGACCAAAAGCGACACTATCCAAGAAAGGTCTTCACCTTATAGGACCGTGTCAGATATGCCCTTCCAACCCTGCCACCCTGCCCTTCCACCTGCCCCAACCGGGCTCTGAAGAGCCTCCATAAGGCTCAGGGGAGACTGACCGACGTTCCGGAACGCCACGCGGGAACCCATAACGCGGGAACCCATCGCGCGGGCTCGAAGAGGGCCTCGGGCGGACCGGGCGGGCTCTCCCGCAGCCGGGCATGGAAATCCTGAAATCCTCGTGTTCGGGTGCAAGTCACTTCGGTTCTCTTGCTCAGGTCTGAGTGGGGCGAAAATCGCTGGTCCATAAGGGTTTTCGTAAATCTATATAGGGCTAGGTGGGGTCTTAGCAATACAAAACTCAAGCACGCCCAGGCAACCACAGTGCACCTAAATCTCAAGTTGATGGCACATATTTGACGGGCTGCAGGGCTGCACGGGTTCATAAACTTAAATCCTGTATGACTCACCCTGCAAAAGAGAAGACCATCCAAAATCCAAAAATCGGTGTCACTCGCATTTTACGACATGTACAATATAAGCAATTACGTCATTCCAAATGAACGGTGTGTGTGTGTGTGAGTGTTTTTGCGCCCTTCAGGGGAGAGAGGTTCCTGAAATGGTATGAAATGGTAATGGGGTATCCGCGGGACTTCTTTGCAAACAGGAGTGAGTCCGGGCTTGTGCTTCGATTATCCGTGAGTCCCGCCAAATCATATGCAGGATGTTTGCGTTCAGCCTTCAATTGCGATCAAAGGAAGGAGTTGTAGTTCCTCTGCTCGCCCATCAATGGATACTGCTTGATAGAGAAGCCCATCTTTCCTTCGCCAGCTGCATCTCTCCTCGTGACCTTTTTGGAGCCCCTCTTTGTCGCCAGTTTCCAGGCTTGGGCAGTTTTTGTGCGCAGAGCGCTCCCTCCACAAGCATGAAGAGACCCAAACCAGCTGGTCAGTCGGGGATCCGCTCGACCAGCGGAGTCGACCCATGCCCGTGGGGCACCGTGGGCCCCCAGGCCACTGCTGAGAGACGGCGGAGGAGCCGCCGAAGGCCTGAGGCCCACGGTCGTCTGCGGGCATCTGAAGTGATGCCACGAGAATCCCATTGTGGACTTCGTCTGCAAGTGGGGAGAAAGGTGCCTTTGAGATCCTTCGGAGGATCACCAGGTATATAACTTGTATATTTATTGCTATTGCATTTGCTATTGCATTTGGCTCCAGCAAGGTCCGCTCTTCAGTTTATTCTTCATGTCCCAATGGTGGACCCTCTGCTGTGTGTCTGTGTGTCCCATTCTCTTCCCCTTCGTGTCTTCGGCCCTAAGGGGTATGGTATGTTCCCGACCCGAGTGGAAGGCCACGAACAACCCTCAGTTGCCGGATCATTCGAACAGAAAGCCCCAGGCCTTGGCCTGCAAGGTGCTTGCAAAGGAGGCCGACGTCCTCGAACCCCATGTGGGCGCTGGAAACCACAGTGGCAGTTTTCGTGTTTTCCTGTTGTGTTGACATGTGCGCCTGGAACAGAGCCGAAAAAAGGGGATTCACAATGCAGTTTTGTTGACCCCCACACAGTTTGGCAGGAATTCTCCGAAAAGGGCAGCTGGGCAAGGCTCGGAAAAAGTGTTTTTCTGTTTTTCGAATCTCGAATGTGATCTTTGCCAGATCATGTTGAGCTTGAGGATGGGCACCCGCCATGCCAAGTCTTGTGTCCTTCACACATAGCAGTTGAGGGCGTACCCCAAAACAGAAACACCATGAAGTACCTACCTCCTAGAAGGCAACAATTGCACCAGAACCCTGCCAATATAGAATGGAAGTGTTCACCAACCCCAGAAAAGGAGAATCCACTTGGAGCAACGACACACGCGTGGTCCGTCCCCCTGCCCCGGTGCTGCTTCTGACCTGCTGCTGCGCAGCACGCCGATGCCAGAGTCATCGCCTAGAGATGGAGATGGATCAACAAAAAAGTGGATGAGCCATTAGATCCTCTACCAGCACCTTCCAACAGGTCTCCTTTGGAGGGTTGTTAGGCCCTAACAGGTTTCAATTGGTGACCTGTTGGAGGTGCTGGTATAGATTGATGGATGATCTTTGGTTCTATGGATCGTCATGATGATCCTTGGGTGATTTGACCGTTGGATCTCGGTTCTACACTGATTTATTGTTGGTTCTACTATGTTCTCATCCAGAGCAACATGTATAAATTGAAGAACTCCAAGGGTGCATCATCATTGAGGAGTGTTCATCTGAACAGCTGGGTGGGGTCCTCATTCACTTGGCCCACTTCCGGCACAGGACACTGACCGCGAAAAAAGGACGCTCCGAAACGACGACGCTCCTAGAGCGTAAGAATAAAGCCGGGCACTCGGGCGTGAGGAAACGTGAGAAGTACCAAATAGAAAGCCCAGGCACTGTAGATCTCAAAGCTCACATCTGAATTGCACAATGAAAATGAATGAAATCCAATTGATATGGTGGTATGAAGTCAAGCGTATCAAGAGGTGTCTTGGCCCTAAAATGTGACGAAGTGTTTTTTGGAAAGCCTGATGACGTTGAGAGAATGTCACTTCACTGCCCAGTTTAAGGAGGCAAATCAGCCATGCGCGGAGGCTTGCATGTCTGGTAAGAAGAACTCAGATCAGCTGAACTGCTTGTGTAGGTCAAGCAGAGTCTTTCCATAACTCCTCTACGAGTTCTTTGGGCCCTTGCCCACCTGGACCCCCCAACCAACCCGGCGCTCGATGCGCTCACCTGCGCCCGTCCAGGCGCTCGTCCAGTGCCGCCAGGGCGAGGCCTCGCCTGGTGGGGCAACAGAGGACTCAGAGGACAGGGGTGTCGCCTCGACTCGTCTCGACATCGAGCGATGTCCCACCTCGATGAGTCCTGAAAGCGTTTTGGGTTGCCATGGCTCGTCTTTTTCCCCGGAGGAGCTATCGGTCCTTGTGGCAGTCAACGTACAGGTGCACGCGCAGTGTGATCTCCATTTCAGTCTAAGGAAGTCTTGCCCCCCAGGTTCCGCTCCAATTCCAAGTGCGCGCGACCGTAATAGTGGATAGTGGAGGTTAGCTTTGGCTTCCACGCGGCCTCAACCCCAGGGTGAGGCACTCAGCTCCATAATACCGGCTTGACACTCGGTCTTCAACCTTTTGGGAGGCCGC